GCCCGCGGCCGCAGGACCTCCCCTGGTGGCGTCTGGTGGTGCTGGGCTTGGAGGTTCTCCGGGTGCTTCGTCTCGGCGGGAGCCACTCTCTCCACAAGAGCCGCGCGAACGGTTTGCTCGCCGCTAGAGGCGTACTGCTGAAGCTGGAGCTTCTTCGGCCGCTGAGGGTGCTGGTGCCGCCGGTCCTGGAGCTGCTGGGCCTGCGGGTCCGACTAGAGCTCGAGCTGCTGAGGGTGTTGGTGCTGAGGCTACTGCTGTCCGTCCTGGCAGTGGTCCTGCTGCGGGTGCTGTTGGTGCTGCTGGAGGTCATGCAGCTGGAGGTGCTCCTGGCACTAGTGCTGCCGCTGAGGGTGCTGGTGCTGTCCCTGCTGTGTCTGGAGTTGTCGCGCGGCCTCGGCCGTACTTTGTTCTGCTCCTTCAGCAGGTTCTTGGTTCTCCTCCTCCTATAGAGTGTCCACCGCCTGTCCAGTCACAGTCATAGTTAGAGCCCGCCTCCCCACTGCCTGCTCCCTCTCCTTACACTGGTCCTACTGGAGGTCTTGCTGAGCGTCGTGAGCCTGCGTCTCGTCCCGCGTCGCCTGTTCGTGCTGCTCGCACTAGTGGTCGCCGTTCGCGTCAGCGTCCTCCTCCTATCCCTGGCACGCACCGGATATCTCCGCGTCCGTCCAGTGCTCCTCCGCGTGTCCCTTTGCCCTCTCCTCTTGCATCCTCTCTTCCTGCGCTTGCCGACCAGGGGTCGGACTCTCTTCGTGCTGCCAGTCCTACTGTCACGCGTCTCCTTGCTACTGTCGTTACTGACCCCTCTATTGAGTCCACTGCTGCGTCTGCTCTTGTTGCTGAGCTCGTCGACTTTGCTGCTCGCTGTCGTCTAGACTACACTGCTAGTCTTGTTGCTGAGTGTGCGTCTGTCTGTCCTCTGTCCTTCGGGGGTGAGTGTGCTCTTGGCACGGACGTCCTTGAGGACAGGCAGGAGGAGTTCCAGTGTCTGGCTGCTGCTTCACCTCATCTTACGTCCGTACTGCTTGCCCCTGAGGGAGACCCGGATGCACTTGACATCCCGACTCCGCGCTCTTACGCGGAGGCCGTAGAGGGTCCCTACTCCTCTCAGTGGCAGGCAGCTACGGATGCAGAGATGGCTTCCTGGAAGTCCACAGGCACCTACGTTGACGCGGTTCCCCCTCCTGGGGCGAACATCGTCAGTGGCATGTGGATCTTCAGGGTGAAGCGGCCGCCTGGCTCTCCACCTGTCTTGAAGGCGCGGTACGTGGCTCGTGGCTTCAGTCAGCGGCAGGAAGTTGACTACTTTCAGACCTTCTCTCCCACCCCGAAGATGACCACTCTTCGGGTGCTGCTGCACATAGCCGCTCAGCGCGACTACGAGCTTCACTCTCTTGACTTCAGCACTGCTTTCTTGCAGGGTAGCCTGCACGAGGAGATCTAGCTGCGCCGTCTACCTGGCTTCACTGGGACTTTCCCTCCTGGCACCCAGTGCAGCTTCCGACGGCCAGTCTACGGTCTTCGCTAGGCACCTCGTGAGTGGCACGACACACTGAGGACTACACTTGCGGCTCTTGGGTTTGCTCCCTCTACTGCTGACCCGTCATTGTTTCTGCGCACCGACACCTCTCTGCCGCCGTTCTACATCCTCGTGTACGTCGACGACTTGGTCTTTGCCACAGCTGACACTGGTGGACTCGCCTACATGAAGTCTGAGCTCCAGAAGAGACACACGTGCACAAACCTGGGTGAACTGCGTAGCTACCTTGGCTTGCAGATCACTCGGGACAGAGCACGCCGCACCGCTACCTTGACTCAGTCACACATGGTGCAGCAGGTCCTTCAGCGCTTCGGCTTCACGTACTCCTCGCCTCAGGCCACTCCTCTGTCTACTCGCCACTCGCTCTCAGCTCTGCCTTCGGATGAGTCCTTAGAGTCGAGTGGCCCGTACCCAGAGCTTGTTGGCTGCCTCATGTACCTGATGACCTGCACACGACCTGACCTTGCATACCCTCTTAGCATTCTTGCACGCTATGTTGCTCCTGGGAGACACAGACCAGAGCACATGGGTGCAGCGAAGAGGGTGTTGCGCTACTTGTGCAGTACGTCGGGCATGGGGCTAGTGCTTGGAGGGCGGAGTCCAGTGGTCCTCACTAGGCACGCGGACGCTTCTTGGGCTGACGACCAGGCTACACAGCGGTCGTCCCAGGGTTACACCTTCAGTCTTGGTTCCGGCTCTGTTTCATGGCGGGCTACTCGCTCGTCTTCTGCTCTCGGCTCCAGTTGTGAGGCTGAGATCTACGCGGGGGCATGGCTGCACAGAAGCTTCGCTGGCTCACCTACCTGCTGACTGACCTCGGAGAGCCGCCTCGTTCTCCTCCAGTGCTGTACGTAGACAACAAGGCCATGCTAGCCTTGTGTCGGGAGCATTGCCGGAGCACAGAACGAAGCACATTGCTCTCCGCTACTTTCTTGCTCGTGAGCTGCAGCAGCGTGGTCAGTTGCGACTTGCGTACATGGCCTCTGAAGCCAACACTGCTGATGTGTTCACCAAGGCACTTCCGCCTTGTGATCATCAGCGCTTCTGCACTCAGCTGGAACTTGTACCTGTGTTGCCTCACTTGCTCACCTCTTGACCTTGCTTGTACTCATATATATATATATATATATATATATATATATATATATATATATATATATATATATATATATATATATATATATATATATATATATATATATATATATACTTGCTCTTGCTTGTTTAGCCTTATATATCTATGTGTACTCCTTCTTTTGAACTGGCCTTCTGGCCTTGACCTTGTGCTCGAATTGTGTGGTGACTTTGAGATCCACCCTGAGCTTTGCTTTGCTTTGCTTGACTGGTTTTGTGACCCCTTGTTCTCCCCCACTTTGCCTATGGGGGTGTGTCAACTTATAATATTGTGTAGGCTGTAGTGGGGTAGCCCATATGGGGTACACATTGCTAGGGTTGCATATTTGTATCACTTCCATTCATAGTTCATTCATTCTCGTTCTACTTTCCTCAATCCTCGCTACCACGATTCATTGCACCCGTAACACTTGGCTATAAATACTCCAGCCGCTTGGCGCTCAATGTTATGTGCGGTTTCTGACACCATCTCCACGATTGTTTTATACTGCAAACAGCATAGCTGGATTATGTTTTTTCTCTCTCTCTTGGTCTTGTACCCCTCTTGTCGTCTTTCTTTTCCTATATGTTGTACTTGCTTCTATAGTGACATTGTCTTCTCTTTTCTCACGATCCCCTCGCTTCTATCATTCCTACTCACAATTATGGCTCTTAAACCTACTACGTTCTAGCTCGTATTTTGGGATTTTTTTTCGCCACTATTACTTATGGTTATGGCTTATCCGGTAGCATTTGATCAACACATCATATCAAATTAGCTTACATTTGATACATCACACTTCAACTGTAGATGCTCGTCACAAAATGAAACACAGAGGCAGTGCCAAAGTCAATGTCCATAGCAACACGCCACACCATTCCGCTGGGTCTAAGAGGGGATACAGAGGGGCATGCCAGCAAAGAGGCTTTGGGAGCGGCACATCCAGCCGCGGTTGAGCTCGCCCACAAGCGACGGCTGGCGCTGGAACTGCACCACCACCAGCGACGAACAGCTGTCCCCCGCCCCCACCGTGTACCGCCGGTTCGCCACCGTCTTCGACCGCGCCTTACCGCACGCCACCGCTCCCAACGGTGTGCCGGCGACGCATATCTGGTGGGTTGGAGAGGGAGGAGGGAGGGAGGTCGGGAGGTCGGGAGGGAAGGAGGGAGGGAGGGAGGGAGGGAGGGAGGGAGGGAGGGAGGGAGGGAGGGAGGGAGGGAGGGAAGGAGGGAGGGAGGGAGGGAGGGAGGGAGGGAGGGAGGGAGGGAGCGAGGGAGAGAGGGAGGGAGGGAGGGAGGGAGGGAGGGAGGGAGGGAGGGAGGGAGGGAGGGAGGGAGGGAGGGAGGGAGGGAGGGAGGGAGGGAGAGAGGGAGGAGGGAGGGAGGGAGGGAGGGAGGGAGGGAGGGAGGGAGGGAGGGAGGGAGGGAGGGAGGGAGGGAGGGAGGGAGGGAGGGAGGGAGGGAGGGAGGGAGGGAGGGAGGGAGGGAGGGAGGGAGGGAAAGATAGCGCAAGACTTGAGCGAGGTGCATCAGAAGGCGAATTTGCCTTTTGGTTCCAATGCCACTTCGCTAACACCACACTACTAAAGCCAACCCCCTAGGTGTTGTTGGTCTGACCTGTTGCCGAGTGGGTTAAAATGACATGTTTGTATTCTGGGTAGCACACCCATAAACCTCCCCGTACACACCTGTAGTCCTTCCGAACTGAACTGAAGAGCGACCCCAATGCCTCACCAACAGATTACCCTTAACTAGGGTAATTCCCCTCTTGTTTAGGGCTCGTTAGAGCACCGTGCTCACTCAACGCACACTGGGATTCGAACCCGAGACCTTTGACTCTGATAGAACACTCAGAGACACCCCCTTAGCGCCACCCCCCTCATAGGTACCTCAGAAGGGGCGAGAGAGGTGAGCGTGTCGCACTTGATGCTGGGGTTGAGGCGGTAGAGGTGGAGCCATGACACGCCCCACATGTTTTGAGTCGATTCAGAAGTGGAGCAAAGACACGCCTACTAGTTGAAACTAGTGGTTTTTCAGAAGTTGGAAGGAACCCGCTCGTTGAAACACAATTCCTCAAGCCGCCCTCCATCGTACCTCCCCCACTTAGCCCCACCCCCCTTAGGAATAGGTACCCCGGAGCCTGTGAGGGTGCCGAGGGAGTCACAGTTCCCCTAGCCCCACCCGCCTTTAGCGTAGCACCCCTCCAATTGACCCCATTCCCTTAGGCCAGCCCCCACCGCCATGTTGTTGGCAGCTCGGAGCCGGGATTGAGAAAAAAGAAGAACCTACATGTTGAAACTCATTCCGACTAACCACTCTCCATAGTGCCACCACCTTCGCTCATAGGTACCTCGGAGCCTGTGAGCGTGCTGAGAGAGTCACAGTTGATGCCGGGGTTGAGGCGGTAGAGGTCGAACCACGTCATGCCATAGTTTGCGACGGCGCTGGTACACGTGAACCACTGCGTGACCGGCTGGTACTCCGTGCACAGGTTGTAGTCCGCTGCTCCTGACACCGCGTCCCCCACTTGAATGCAGATCTGCGTATGGAGGAAAAAGAGAGGGAGGGGAGTGAGAAGAGGAGGAGAGGGAAGGGGAGACAGCGGCAGGTTCAGCACGGATTTGTGGTAAGGTAATCCGAGCAAAGGATGTGGTCTGCTGCTCATGGCACCGCGTCTCCCGCCGGAATTCAAATCTGAGATGGAAGGAGATGGAAGGAGATGGAAGGAGATGGAAGGAGATGGGAGGAGAGGATGAGAGAGGCCAGGCCAGATAGGAGGGGGAGAACACGTGAGCCAGTCGTTGACGTTGATGCCTGTGCTGTCGATGCAAACAATTTCCACTCTCCCATGCTACACCAGTGGAACCACTCTGCACCGCTCGCTCTCATCACCTGCTGGTTGGGCGTGAGGCTTGAGCAGTCAAGGCTGGGGTTGGGAGTTGATGCCCAAACTCCTATGCCTGCTCCCCCAATCCCTAAGCACCCCGATCCACCCCACTCCCTAAGCACCCCGCTCCACCCCACTCCCTAAGCACCCCGCTCCACCCCACTCCCTAAGCACCCCACTCCCTAAGCACCCCGCTCCACCCCACTCCCTAAGCACCCCGCTCCACCCCACTCCCTAAGCACCCCGCTCCACCCCACTCCCTCCTGGTACACCAGCGCCCCACTTCACACTGCTCTCCCCGTGTGCTGCACCAATGGAACCACTCCGCACCACTCTGAACCAGTAGCCCCACTTCCCACCGCCCCCCCCACCTGCTGGTTGGGTGTGAGGCTTGAGCAGTCAAGGCTGGGGTTGATGGTCGTGACGTCGATGCCAAAGCGGGTGTTGATGGGATCACAGCTCCTTGCTGCGGCATCCGCCTGGGGGGAGCGGGGAGAGGGACGGACAGGGGAAGAGGTAGGGGAACCGATGGGATCACAGCTCCTTGTAGAGAGGTTGTTTTTGAGACGTCTCAAAAACAACGATGGGATCAGCAGCGGCTCCTTGCTTCTCCTTGCTGCTGCATTTGCCTGGGGGGAATGAGGATGGGACAGCAGTTAAGAGGGGAGATATATGAGCGTTGACGGGTGGTGTGTATGTCACTAGTCAACTGGGTGAATAGAGGAATAGAGGTCTTGATAGAGGAATGGAGGTCTTGATAGAGGAATGGAGGTCTTGATAGAGGAAAGCGAGTGACGAAGTATGCAGCTGGGCGACTTGTGACACACCTGGATGACATGTAACGCACCTGGGAGACATGTAACGCACCTGGGAGACATGTAACGCACCTGGGTGACAGTGTAGCGCACGCGGCACACTTGCGTTGTGGATGGGATGGAGATGTTGAGCACTTGACCCGCCTTGAGATTGTCGCAGTCCAGTCCCTGGTGGTGTGGGGTTGCAAATGGAAGTGTAGGAGAGAAAAGAGCAGGGAAAGAGATAGGGAAAGAGATAGGGAAAGAGCAGGGAAAGAGCAGGGAAAGAGCAGGGAAAGAGATAGGGAAAGAGCAGGGAAAGAGCAGGGAAAGAGCAGGGAAAGAGAAAGGGAAAGAGATAGGGAAAGAGATAAGGAAAGTCCACTAAGTGCTCTTGCCACGTGCTGTCAGGGATAAACAGGTGGGCTGCGGAGGTCTTATGTCCATTAACTTAAACTGTTTCTTAGGACGACGAAGCAAAATCCATGAAAATGAAAGAATGATAGAGCCTGGAGAGCTTGTGAGCTAGAACGTCTTAGAGAGCCTCGTTCTGCTGTAGGATTTTCTCTGCTCTTATCCCAGACCGCTGCACTTATCCCAGGCCTCTGCTTTCATCCCAGACCTGTGCTCTTATCCCAGACCTCTGCTCTTATCCCAGACCTCTGCTCTTATCCCAGACCTCTGCTCTTGATCCCAGACCGCTGCACTTATCCCAGGCCTCTGCTTTCATCCCAGACCTGTGCTCTTATCCCAGACCTCTGCTCTTATCCCAGACCTCTGCTCTTATCCCAGACCTCTGCTCTTGATCCCAGACCTCTGCTCTTGATCCCAGACCTCTGCTCTTGATCCCAGACCTCTGCTCTTGATCCCAGACATCTGCTCTTATCCCAGACCTCTGCTCTTATCCCAGACATGTGCTCTTATCCCAGACATGTGCTCTTATCCCAGACATGTGCTCTTATCCCAGACATGTGCTCTTATCCCAGACATGTGCTCTTATCCCAGACATGTGCTCTTATCCCAGACATGTGCTCTTATCCCAGACATGTGCTCTTATCCCAGACATGTGCTCTTATCCCAGACATGTGCTCTTATCCCAGACATGTGCTCTTATCCCAGACATGTGCTCTTATCCCAGACATGTGCTCTTATCCCAGACATGTGCTCTTATCCCAGACATGTGCTCTATCTCGCACCTTGTTCTGCTGTAGGAACTGCTCTCATATATCTCACTGCCCACACCTCATTCTGCTGTAGGAACTGTTCCAATCACTCTTGCCACTCTCACTCCTATTACCTCATTCTGCTGTAGGAACTGCCCCAATCACTCTTGCCACTCTCACTCAACTCACATCGTTCTGCAGGAGGAACTGCTCCTATATCTCTAATCACTCTTACCTCATTCTGTGCGAGGAACTGCTCCTGGGTGAGGCCGATGAAGCCATAGATGGCGCCACAGGTCTCCCCGCCCTGCACTGTGTACGTGCCCTGCACCGCTGCTGCACTGCTCCCAGACATCTCTGTCATGGGATGTGTGGAATGGGGTGGTACGGGGGGGGCGATTGGGATGCCCAACAAAGAGGTTTGAAAAAGGTCACTTTTGCGCCTGGTTGGAGGCGAGCAGAGGAATGAGTTGGACATTCATTCATTCATTCATTCGGTCCCACCACCGCAACTCCATCCCTTCTCCTCCCATTCCCCCGAGCCTCACCAGGCACGCAGGTGGTCTGGCCGGAGGCGAGCACACTCGTCTTGTAATTGGGCGGGCAGAGGCACGAGTAGCCGCCGTCACCGCTGTTGATGCACTGCCCTACCACGCAGGGGTTGGTGGGTAGCACACTGCAGATCTCGACTGAGAGGGAGGGAGGGGGGAAGCAGTGAAGGATATGGGAAAATGAGATAAGGAGATGCTGGTTGCTGCTGTTGATGCACTGGCCGACGAGGCAGGGGTTGGTGGGTAGCACACTGAAGATTTGTGCAGACTGGAAAGGAAGGGTGTAAGGGAGAGGAGAAAGAGTGAGTGATGAACGAAGCACCCCCCCATGGGCAGAACGAAGCACCCCCCCATGGGCAGAACGAAGCACCCCCCCATGGGCAGAACGAAGCACCCCCCCATGGGCAGAACGAAGCACCCCCCCATGGGCAGAACGAAGCACCCCAAAAAACCTCAGGAGCCTAAGGGTTGAAATCGCCCATGCCACCACTCACCCACGTGGGTGTGCCGTCGCGGTTGACAGCGGGCACCAGGAGGGCCGTGCACTGACACATGTATTGAGTCGACTCAACAGTTATCTCCCATCCGACGAGGAACCACTCACTGATGGTGCAGGTGGGAGTGCCGTCGCGGTTGACAGCTGGCACCAGCAGGTCCGAGCACTGACACGTGTACTTGCCGTTGCCACTCTCGTCCGCCTCACACGTGCCCCCCCCACACGGTGACGTGCCACAGGGGTCTGTGGTCTGGTGGGCTGGCGAGGGGGTAGGGATGGGAGAGGGCATGACGGAGGGAGAAAGAGGAAAAAAGAAAGGGGGAAATGAGAGGGTAATAGGAGGGATTGGAATCCATTACACCATCGGAGAATAAGCAAGGAAGAATGAATGAATGAATGAAAGAAAGAAAGAAAGAAAGAAAGAAAGAAGGAAAGAAAGAAAGAAGAGAAAAATAAGGGGGAAAATTATATATATAATGGTCGTGTATATTATATATATACAAATATATTTAAGGAAGAAACAAGCGCAAGGGGGTACAAAGTGGAAAATGATGGATCCCTCACCATTCACAACGGGGTACAGCCCGCGGTTCACCAGCATGCCGCACGTGCCGAACGCGTCACCCTCCATGCGAATCTTCATGTAACCATTCTCCCCCCAATTTGGCCCCCAGCTGTTCTTCAGAATGAAATAATTCTGCGCGCTTCCCGGCACAACATAGTTGTACCCCACGGCCAGCATCACGTGGTCCAGCAGCCCCGTGTTGTTGGTGGCAGTGGCTGTCGCTCTGAAACCATTGCCCTGTCTGTCCCCAACGACCTCCCCCACGGGGCTGTAGCAGTTCCAGCCCTCATAAATGCCCTCCTGTGAGGGGCAGAGGGAGGGAGGGGCAAAGGGAGGGAGGGAGGGAGGGAGGGAGGGAGGGAGGGAGGGAGGGAGGGAGGGAGGGAGGGAGGGAGGGAGGGAGGAGGAGAGAGGGAGGGAGGGAGAGAGGACGGGAGGGAGGGAGGGAGGGAGGGAGGGAGGGAGGGAGGGAGGGAGGGTGGGAGGGAGAGAGGGAGAGAGGGAGGGAGGGAGAGAGGGAGGGAGGGAGGGAGGGAGGGAGGGAGGGAGAGAGGGAGGGCCATCAATAGAAAGGATCGTTTGGGAGGGAGGCAGGGAGGGTGGGTGGGTGTGTGCGTGGGAAGGAGGAAGTGTGGTTCAATCCCTCGCAGGCGGAGCTGGACAAGCCAAAAGAAAAGAAAAGAAAAATAAAAATCAATCAATCCCTTGAAGTCTCGCCAGCGGCGGTCGCGGTGGCGGTGGCGGCGGCGGTGGCGGCGGCGGCGGTGGCGGCGGCAGCATCAGCAGCAGCAGCAGCAGGAGCAGCAGCAGGAACAGCGGAGCCCCAAGTTACTCACGGAGTAGTCGATGAAGTCCTGAGCAGAAGTGCGGATGGTGAGGACGTTAATGTCAGAAATGGAGCTCGAACTAGGCCTACCAACAGAGTTGGGTTGGGTGAGGCTAAGGGAATAGATGGGATGGGAATCCAAGCAAATCTCCAATGATGAGTTGGCAGATTTGTTTGATAACGAAGGAATCCCAACCAGATAAGGTTGGGATAACAAAACTATACTCAACCTACAGATAACCTACACAATGTAAAATAGAGTACAAAAATGTGTTGACAACGTATTTCTAACAGTTAATGTGTGCAGGGAGAGTCTTTGACAGCAGCAACAGAGGCCCAACTCATCAGCAGCAGAGGCCCAACTCATCAGCAGCAGAGCCCCAAGTCACTCACCGCATAGTCAATAAAGTCCTGCGCAGAGGCGCGGATGGTGACGATGACGGGTTGCTTCTGCAGCGCGAGAATGAGCCCCAGCGGCCCCGGCAGTGGCACCTGCTCGTACATCGAGATGTTGTAAAAGTCCTGAGAGCGGTGGAGAGGGGTGGTAGGTGAGAGATAGCACACAGTAAGGAAGAGGGAGCGCATTGGCCAGCCACCATTCCCAACGGCCCTGGCAGTGGCACCTGCTCGTATGGTGGGTAGCAACACCCATGGCCCCTAAGACCGCACCTATAGCCCTCCCTCACTCATGTGGGGAGGATCTCCATGATCAATCTTCCCCTTGGGGCTCATTAGGGCACTATCGCTCATTACAGTACTCTAGGATTCGAACTGGGGACCTTTCTGGATTTGATACCACAATTGGCCCAACCTGCTACCGACTAGGTTAAATGGACATGTTTGTATGGTGGATAGCACACCCATTACCCAGGCCGCACCTGTAGCCCTCCCACTCTCAGCTGGGAATGATCCCAGTGCCCCACCAACAGAGGGAGGCTCTGACAAGCATTGGGCGCGTGGCATTGGTAGTGACCCCCTGTGGCACTTGCTGGTCTTCATCCTGCAACCCGTTCTTCGCAGTGTACTGCAGCGCAGATTTAGAGTACCGCTGTGCATTTCGGGCACTGAGGCGATTTTCGGGCACCGAGGCGATTTTCCGGCACCGAGGCGAATTTTGGGTAGCAGGGCATGCATATCGGGTCGACTCAAAACTCTCAGTGTAAGCATAGCCCACCTCATTCTGCAGCCCGCTCTTCACCCATCCTATCCCTTTCTCCAACTCACCGTATCCTTGTTAACGCTGCACTTGCCGCTGGCCCCCGTGTAGGAATATCCCGCCTCGTCCTGCAGCCCGATCTTAGCCGCGTACTGCAGGGCAGCCTCAGGGTACCCCCCCCGGCACGAGGCAGCAGCGCCAGTGCAGTCCACCAGCTGCTGCACGGACAGACTCATCCCGCCGGGGAACACATCATCGTCCGTCTCTTTGAGCTTCGCATACGCGCCCTGCACCGCCCGCGCTGCCGCGTACGCCCAGCAGGCTCCTGGGAGGGGTTTGATGGCATATGGGCCCAAGCCAATGAAGTCAATGGCCGCCCACAAGTCAACAGCACTACGACAGCAGTCAAAAGAGGTCAGCAGAAGTCAACGCGGGTCAACAGAGTCATTGCAGGTCAACAGAAGTCAACGTGGGTCAACAGAGTCATTGCAGGTCAACAGAAATCAAGGTGGGTCAACAGAACTCAATGGCAATCAACAGAAGACAGTGGCGATCAAGAAAAGTCAACGCAGGTCGGTAGAAGTCAACGATGTCATCGCCAGTCAACAGAAATCAACAGAAGTCAACGTGTGTCAACAGAAGTCAACGCGTGTCAACAGAAGTCAACGCAGGTCAACGGCAGCCAACAGCACGCACCACAGTTGCCCTGGTCGAAATCGTCTTCAGGAAAATATTTGCTGTGGCTCACGCTCTTCTTGAAATCCCACGTGATCTTCTGCGAGGTCGGGTCGAGCGTGAGACCGACGGTGAGGTAGCGCGAGACGGTGTTGAGATTGGGCAGCTTGGCGGGATTGAGGTCCTTGGTCGTGGGGGGGACGTACCCCAGACTGCGGTCTGGCGGTGGGGGGTTGGGGGAGGCGCAGGGAGAAAGGTGTCAGAACTTGAGCTTAGAATCGATACTATAGTAGTGAGCTCAAAGCTCTTTAAGTACATCCGGAATGAGCAAGGTAGGGATGAGGAGGGAATCAGGAGGCAATCCTAGGGAATCAAGGGTAATCCCAAGGCAATCTCCAATTGGTGGGTTGGAGATTGCTTGGAGATTACATTTGGGTTTGGTTGGGATGTGGGTGTACACCCAACCAAACACAAAGTGCAAACTACACTAAACTAGGATATAAAAGTACAAGTACAAAATGTGAGATTGGGGCCTAACACCAACACCCCCCCTGAGGCGTCAATCGAACTCATGGCGGAGAAGGAGGAGCGCAGAGCCCCATGGCGCCAAGGAGACGATGGTGGGGAACCTTCCCAAGGGGCTTGGTGAACAGGTCAGCCAGGTTGCAGTCAGATGCCACGTATTCCACCTTCAGCTGCTCTTGTTGCACAAGGTGACGAATGAAGAAGTGCCGAAGTTCAATATGCTTGGTGCGGGTGTGATACACAGGGTCTTGAGAGATGTGGATGGTACTCTGGTTGTCACACCAGAGGGTGGGGGCTGACTGAGGGAAGCCAAGCTCTTGGAGTAGGAAGGTGAACCAACGGGCCTCCTGAGCAGCCATGGTGCCTGCGTAGAGCTCCGCCTCACAGGAGGAGAGGGAGACTGCAGACGACCTGGTGGAGCGCCAACTGACAGTTCCGCTCCCGAGGGTGAAGCAGTACCCCTGAGAGGAGCGCCGGTCGGTCTGGTCATCAGCCCAGGAGGAGTCTGTGTAACCTTCCAGGCGAGGAGGGGAGAGCCCACCGAGTGTGAGAACGTGGGACTTTGTGCCCTTAAGATAGCGCAGCACCCGCTTTGCTGCCTTCCAATGAAGATTAGTGAAGCGACCCGGGGCCACGTAACGAGAGAGAACACTGACTGGGTAGGCCAAGTCCGGTCGGGTGCACATCATGGCGTACATGAGGGACCCAACAAGTTCCGGGTATGGCTCAGAGCAGGCCTCTGGTGTGGGTACAGCAGGAGCTGTAAGGAGGTGTTGCAGCGGCAGCGGGGTGGCAACAGGTGTGCACAGCTCCATCTCAAACCGCTTGAGCACATTGTCGATGTAGAACTCCTGGGAGAGTGAGATGGTGCGAGCCTTGCGATCACGAGTGATCTCCATTCCCAGGTAGTGCTTGAGGTCACCAAGGTCTTTCATCTGGAGGGCCTTGCTCAGGGCTGCCTGGACAGAGGTCATTTGGGCCGAGTCCTTGGCAACGAGGATAAAATCATCCACGTAGACTAGGATGTAGAATGGCTCAGAATGACGACGGATGAAGAGAGTCGGGTCAGCAGTTGAGGGGTGGAAGTCCAGGGAGAGGAGGACTTCTTTCACCTTGTTGTGCCATTCGCGAGGGGCTTGTTTAAGGCCGTAGACGGGGCGATTCAGCTTCCAGACTGTGTTGGGAGGGAATTCTCCTGGGAAGCCTTCTGGTCTGTCCATGAACACTGTCTCCTTGAGACGTCCTTGTAGGAAAGCGGAGGAGGCATCCATGGATTTGATCTCAAAGTCTTCTCGAGCTGCAACATCCATGAGCGTTCGAATGGTGGGAGGTTTGGATGTGGGGGAGAAGATTAGGTCGAAGTCGCGGTACCGCTGCTGGGTGAAGCCCTTGGCTACGTAACGCGCTTTGAACACCGGTGCCTCGTCTGGGAGCTGTTTTACACGGAACAACCACTTGCCCCCGACGATGTTGACTCCTGGAGGTGGAGTCTCGTCATCGAAAGAGTGGTTGCGAGTGAATGCTGCAATCTCCGCGTCCATGGCAGCACGCCATTCGGCAGCATGAGGGCCTGAGAGAGCCTCTTGGACGGTGAGAGGGATAGGGATGGTCGGGTTCTCCGCGAGGTTGAGGGAGGGTGAGCCAGTGATATCGGGGAAGATGTGTGAGAGCTGAGGAATGACTGCATGGAGATCACACAGCTCCTCATGCCTGTCTTCTAGAAGGGTAGAGGGCACATCCCCCCCAGCAGGAGGAGGCGGTGTGATCATTGTGTATCGAAGAACCATTGCGAGTGGAAGAGCAGCGCGATGGGAGCGGGTGCCATGAGCCACCGGTGAGGAGGGCGGGGCAGGCGGTGTCGGAGAGGGTGACTTAGGAGGCTTGGGTGGGGGAATGGGCCGCCGGCGGTACGTGATCAGCTCGGGCGACTGTGGGAGAGCGGGTTCCTCTGTGGTGGGGGGAACTGGGGGAGGAGGTGGGGCCGGAGGGTGGGACCGCCGATGGTAGGTGATAGGTGCGCTCGGAGGGGGCGGCGCAGCGGGAAGTGAGGAAGGTGAGGGGGGGGGCGGAGCAGCCGCCGAAGACACCGGTGAGGCCGGGTCAGAGACCTCAGAGGGAGATGGTGGGATGGCAGGAGAGGGAGGAGGTGAGGGGGCAGGAGCAGGCGGGAGGTCGGGAGGCGCGTCAAAGTCTGCCCACACGAGGGAGGGTGGATCAGGGAGAGGGTCCCGTCCCGAAGGGGAGTAGAATGGGCGGGTCTCATCAAAGACAACGTCGCGGCTCCTGACCAACTGTTGAGTGGAGGGATTGAGGAAGAGGTAGTCAGGTGAGTCGGCGTTGTGCCCAAGGTAGATGCACGTTTGAGTCTTGGGACCGAGCTTGCCACCGTTCTGGCGTCGAGCCTGAGGGTTGAGGAGGACGTCCTTGAGGTCAAGGCCCTGCACGTCACGGCTCAGGAGGTGCTTGTCAACTCCGTAGCTCCACGCCTTGAAGTTGGAGCTAGAGCCATCGGCTTCAAGGCGGAGCGGGGTGATGGGGTTCGCCATGGTGGAAGACGAGAAAGCCATGGTGGAGACCCCTTAACTTCTCGCGCGGAGCGCCGCTCTTAAGTCACCAATAGGAACTTGAGGTTTGGGGTTTCCAAAGGAGATTTTGAAGAACCGGAGGTTTAGGGTTTACGAAGGAGAATTTGACTGAGACGCCAATTTAGTGTCAACTACCTACTAGTCCTATTCCCACACACCCCCCCCACACACCACCCTCAGCTTCGCGGCTACGCTGCTGCTCGGCTGCGTTGCTGCACCTGTTCAGCTGCGGGAAAGAGGGGGGATGGGGGTAGGAGTGCAGATGCGGGGCGACGGGCGGCAGCCCGAAGATGACGCTGCGGGGCGACGGGCGGCGGCCCGACGAGAAGCTGCAGGGCGACGGGCGGCAGCCCGTCGAGGAGAAGAAGTGACGAATTGATGAAAACGAGTGTTAGGTTAGAGCGCCGACGATGCGCTTACCAGAGAAGTTTCCGTCGATGGTGACGGGAAGATTTGGCGGGAGAAATTCCGCCGATGAATGTCGCGAATCAACGGCGACGAGATTGGCGATGGCTTCCCCGAGGTTTGCGAGACAAGTATCCGCAGAGATGAGAGGATCACGATCCGCGTATGCGGTTGAGCTGCTCTGATTACCATGTCAGAACTTGAGCTTAGAATCGATACTATAGTAGTGAGCTCAAAGCTCTTTAAGTACATCCGGAATGAGCAAGGTAGGGATGAGGAGGGAATCAGGAGGCAATCCTAGGGAATCAAGGGTAATCCCAAGGCAATCTCCAATTGGTGGGTTGGAGATTGCTTGGAGATTACATTTGGGTTTGGTTGGGATGTGGGTGTACACCCAACCAAACACAAAGTGCAAACTACACTAAACTAGGATATAAAAGTACAAGTACAAAATGTGAGATTGGGGCCTAACACCAACAAAAGGGAATGGGGGAGGAGTTGAGACGGTGTTGAGATTGGGCAGCTTGGCGAGATCCTTGGTCGTGGGGGGGACGTAGCCCAGACTGCGGTCTGGCGGTGGGCAGAGGGGAGGCACAGCGAGAGAGGAGCGAGATAAGAGTGATTGGCGTAAGCACACGCAGCTTGGCGAGGTCCTTGGCGGTGAAGGGCGTGTAGCCTAGGCAGCGGTCTGACTGCGGGGGGAGAGGAGGGGCAGGGGAGGTGGGGGGGAAGCGGGATGAGGAAAGAGAGAGAAAGGGAGGCGAGTGAAAAATCACCTTCCCAAACCACCTTACCAGCAAGAAATCACGGTCACTGTCCCTGCCCGCACACCCTTGAGAACCGTTGAACCATGCCCTTTACCCCATTCCACCGCACTCCACCCATCGTTGCGCCCCCGCGCGACTCTCACCAACGGTTGTGGTGTTCCCGCGTCCGCCGTTCCCCTTGCTCGATCCGCGCCCCTTCCCTCCGCCTCCCGACGCCTGCTGAATCAGCTTCTGCACGCGCTGCTTCACCGTCGCGAGCCATTTGCGCGCTGCCGCGGCGAACGCGTCTTTAGTTAAGTACGAGGCGCGTTCGGGCGGCTTGCCGACGCCCGTCAGGTCCGCGGCGCCCATCAGCGGCGCGAGGGCTTTAATCAACGCACGCGTCTTCGCGTCCACCGCCAGCGCCGAGAGATCCGATGCCGCCACGCCAGCTGTCGCGTCGTCGGAGCTCGCGGTACCAGAGGTTGCGGTGTCAGAGCCCGCGTTTGTCGTTGCATCGAGTGTGTCTGTAACGAGGAGGGGGACGCGGTGCGGGGGAAGGGAAAGAAGAAAAAAGGGGTGGGGGGAAGGAAGTAGCCTGAGTGGCGGAGGAGGAGGTGGTATATGAAACAAGCAGCATAGGGTAGACAACGTTCGGAAAGTTGCAGTTTACAGTCTGAGGCCTGGGCTAGGCGTGGGCTACTAGGCCTGGGTTAGGGCGTGGTGTGCGCGACCAATGAACGGCTCGGAGAGGAGATCGACTCGCAAACAACGACTCGGTGTGTGCTCGTGTAGGCACGATACTTCTCGGTACGTCTAGTAAGCATGATAGGCCGCTTATGAGTTGACTCAAAGTCACTTTGCTGCGTGCTCTTGTGGTACGCCTAAGCATGATAGGCCGCTTACCTATCCGCCGGCCAGCGGAGGCGGGGGCGACAGAGACGATCAGTAAGACTGCTATTAGTCGAAGCGCGTGGGCTGGAAACGCCGAGCCGCGACGATCCATCGTGTCACAAGCCGCACAACTTCGCCCCGCACGAGATGCGCGAGCCTGGCTTACTTGATGCCTGGGCTGCGCAGACACGTCAGCAATCCCCTGGCGCGGGAGCACAATGCGGATGGGGAAGGAATGCACCCGGCCCGCGGGTGATTCGGGAACGTAATGGCGACGTGGACTCTCGAATCAAGACCTAGTATGTCTGGTTTACGCCAGTTGTACTGACACGTAGCCTCGTTGTGGCCTTGTGCGCAATTTACGCTTCTATGGCGTCTCGATTCCCGCGACGTGTGATGGCAATTGCCGAGAGGGAGCCGCGTAACCGAAGCCTACAAGTGGTGAGCAGCCGTGGAAAAAACTCGAGAAAAAAATGTACGCAATGAAGCAAACTCGATCGGTGTACAAAAATCAAGAAATCCGAACTGGTACCCTCGAGAAGATAAGAAACCTCGACTACATTCGTACGGGTTTGCCTGCGACTACGTTTCCCTGCCCAATACTGAATCGTACGAAACTCCTTGCCACTCTAGCCCAGCCGTGTTGTACTTTGTACTGTAGACTCCCCGGAGGTCAGAAAGTACATGCGGATAAGTGACAGCAGAGCAGTCTTCACATCGCGGTGCGGATAAGTAGTGCTCTGTGCTCCGTGTGGGGCCTGCAGAACAGGGGGAGTGACAGCAGCGAGCTTTGCGGTATGGCAGAATAGCAGCTCGGTTTGGGCTGGGCGTGTCCCGCGCACACACTTAACGTGGGGGACTCAGGTGAGAGAAATTTGACGAAAATAGCAGCCGCCGATGTTCGTTCTGCGAGCGATTAGCGTCAGGTGAAGCCGCAGTCATTGATTGAGGGCCCGGATGGGGAGAGCCTTTGGCTTGGTTTGAAGTTTGCATGAATCTACAATCAGTGCTTAGCGGGCAGGTTAAAACATTTTTTACGGAAGACTAAACACTTCATACTCATATTTCAGTAACTGAAAACGTATATCATGTGGTTTCGAACCAAGGAAGCGAGCAGTGAGCGGACAAGTGCGAACAAGTGCGTGAATAAACGAGATTTCTTAGCCATGTTCAGCAGGCAGGGGTCGAGGCAGCCGCGCCCGCCTCTGTCCTCCTCGTCTCCGTCCGCTTCCGCTTGCACTTAAAACTCAGTGGCGTTTCCCTTCTGACAATATTAATCATTGTCAGAGATAATTGTGGTTATTTCATGAACGATAATTTGGCTGTTTGGAGGTGGAAAAAATCGCCGCGCCGCTTCAACTAGAAATGTCTTCTCACCTGAAAGGTTGAGCGGCTCGGATCGACCACCTGTGAGGAGGAGTGTTGAGCAGCAAATCCGATTTCCGCACTTCCCGTACATTCGCCACCGCAATCTTCGGTGTGGACTTTTCAACCTGCGGTTTGGAGTGGGAGGCTTCCCCTGGTTCGTGAGCTTGTTTCATGACTCTTCCAGTTCCGTAGGCAATCGATCGATGCCACTTCGTCCATGAAATTGCGAGCATTATTCCGTAGTACAGTAGTACATGCTATAGTTCAGACGCATTCATAAAAAAAGTACAGTAGTACAGTGTGGCTTGAGTCGGATGGGCAGGGAAAAAAATGTTGCAGGCGAACCGAACTTGAATTGAACACGTCTCCCACAACTGACTCAGCGGAGGCTGCTGCTTCTCTTCTCTAACCATGGCTGGTTTGCCTTCCTATTCATCAGAAAAGCGTCTTGTGTAGTACTCTCTCCTGAATGTCTTCACTGCCCTGCCGCTCTCTCCCACCCCTCAAACCCTCGAGTTTCGGCCTAGTGTATGTGGCAATTGCCATCACAAGTTGCGCGGATCGAGCCGCCATAGTAGCGTGCCTCGCAACGACGCCACGTGTCAGTAAATGTGGCATAAGCGATATATACTGTTCGTCACGACGGCGGACGCCAGGTCCTAATTTGCGAGTCCACGTCGCCTCGACAATCCGACTCACCTGCGGGCCGCGCGCATTCCTTCCCCCGTCCGCATTGCGCTCTAGGTTTCCTCTAGGTTACGGCGCATTCCTTTCCCCGCCCGCGCTCCCCCAACCGCATAGAACGCATTCTTTTCCCCGTACACATTTTGCTCCAGCGCTCACTCAGTAGTGCTGACGTGTCTGCATAGCCCAGAAATCCAGTAAGCCAGGCTCGCACATCTCGTGCGACAGCGGCGCGGTACTTCTTTGGGGAGGTAGTGCGGCTTCTGACACGATGGATCGTCGCGGCTCGGCGCTTCCAGCCCACGCGCTTCGACTAATAGCAGTCTTACTGATCATCACTGTCGCCCCCGCCACCGCTGGCCGGCGGATAGGTAAGCGGCCGATCATGCTGACGTGGGGCTGACGTGGCGCGCTTGAATGAATGAAGGGTGTACCCAGGCCGCAGACCGTAAGGGCGTGTTACTCAGGGTCCGACTTTTGAGTCGACTCAAAACCCAGGCCGCAGACCGTAAGGGCGTGCTACTCAGGGTCCGACTTTTGAGTCGACTCAAAACCCAGGCCGCAGACCGTAAGGGCGTGTTACTCAGGGTCTGCGAAGCCCCTGGTCCGCCAAATCAGGGCTGGTCCGACGAATCAGGCCCAAACCAGGTCCCACACGAATCTCGCGGACTGGTCTGGCGAACCAAATCAGCCCCTGCAATTTTGCGTGGCAGACCAGCAGATTGGCTCGGGCCAGAGCGGACCAAACGGTGTTACCTGGTAACCCTATACTGTTCTTGCCTGGTCCTCGAGCTGGCTCACAGCTGGTCCACCCTGGTCCGCGGACTGGACCGCCTGGTCCGCAGTGGACCAGCGGCATCGCGGACCCTGAGTAACGCGCCCGATCACTGGTAAGCTGTGGGTAACCTGGGGGGGGAACGGGGGGGGGGGGGGGAGGTTTCGCCCAAACTTTTTTGGGATGCATGCCGCCTGCGTCTTACCACCTCCTCCTCCCCTCCTTCCTCCCTCCCCCGTTTTCTCCTTCCTTCCCCTCCCCGGAACCTCCCCCCACCCGCATCCCCCTACTCATCAAAGATGCACTCGGCACAACGACAAACGCGGACTCCGCCGGCTCCGCGACCACCGCCGGCGGCTCTGCGACCTCTGACGACGCGACAGCTGGCGCGGCGGCATCGGACCTCGTGGCGCTGGCGGTGGACGCGAAAACGAAGCAGGAGATAAAATCTCTCGCGCCGCTGTTGGGCGCCGCGGACCTGACGGGCGTCGACAAGCCCCCCGAACGCGCGTCGTACTTAACTAAAGACGCGTTCGCGGCGGCGGCGCGAAAGTGGGTCGCGCAGGTGAAGCGGCGCGTGCAGGCGGTGCAGAAGCTGATTCGGGCGGGGGGGGGAGGCGGAGGGAAGGGGCGCGGAATAAGCAAGGGGAACAGCGCACGCGGGAACGCCACTGCTGTTGGTGAGAGTCGCGCGGCGGCGTAACTAGGGCTGGAGTGCGGTGGAATGTGGTACAGGGCATGGGTTGCGCGGCGGGAATCGTGAGCGTGTCATTCCACCTACCGCCCGCTGTTAAGCTGCCTTGGGAAGGAAAGGGGGCGGAAGCTAGCGTGGGGGGTGGGGCGTTGCTGCTGCTGCCGTGGGTGCTCTGCCAATTTCCGGAGAATGTGCTCAGCTCATTCCTCCTTCTCACATGCTCCTCCTCCTCCCTCTCCCGGCTCCTTCTGCTCCCCTCCCTTCCCTCCCGTCTCTTTTCTCTCCTCCCTTTTCTCCCCCTTGCCCTCCCCTCCCTGCCACTCCCCTTCCCCCCCGTCAGAACGCAGCCTGGGCTACATCCCCCCCCCCAGCAGGGATCTCGCCAAGCTGCCCAATCTCAACACCGTCTCGCGCTACCTCACCGTGGGTCGCACGCTCGACCCCGCCTCGCAGAAGCTCACGTGCAGCCTAAACCGCTGCTGCTATCGTGTGTGCTCACACAAACCCCGCTTCTCTCCTCTCCTTGCTCCCCTCCCCTTCCTGCCCCTGGCCCCCAACCCCCCCACCAGACAAAAGTCTCGGCTACACCCCCCCCACCACCAAGGACCTCAATCCCACCAAGCTGCCAAATCTCAACACCGTCTCGCGCTACCTCACCGTGGGTCTCACGCTCGACCAAACTTCCCAGAAGCTCACGTGGTCCTTCCCACCCAGCGCGGACCACCGCCCGCTGCTCTTGCCTGACGACAACTTCGACCAGGGCAACTGCGGTGCGTGACCCCGTTGACCCGCGTTGACTGCTGTTGACTGCTGTTCACCTTTGCTAGGACTGGTGTTGACCAGGTTGGCTGGAATCCCCTCCCAGCGCGGACCACCGCCCGCTGCTCTTGCCTGACCACAACTTCGACCAGGGCAACTGTGTGGACTGCACTGGCTCGTCTGCGCTGCACCGCACTTCACCGCACTTGACCGAACTGCACAGCGCCAGCACTGCTGCTTCCATGACCCACAAGACACAGCATCCTCGCCTCCCTCCCCTCCGTTCCCCCTCGTCCCCCTCCCCCTCACAGGCTCCTGCTGGGCGTACGCGGTAGCAAGGGCGATTCAGGGCGCGTATGGTGCCGTGACAGACACGTACCCCGAGGGGCAGCCGCTGTCCGCTGGCTCTGCTGCCCTGCACCGCACTTCACCACGCTTTACTGCACTGCACCCTCGTTCCCCCTCGTCGCCCTTCCCCTCCAGGCTCCTGCTGGGCGTACGCTGTAGCTCGGGCGATTCAGGGCGCGTATGGTGCCGTGACAGACACGTACCCCGAGGGGCAGCCGCTGTCCGTGCAGCAGCTCGTGGACTGCACTGGCTCTGCTGCCTCCTGCCGGGGGGGTTACCCTGAGGCAGCGCTGCAGTACGCGGCGAAGAACGGGCTGCAGTATGAGCAAGACTACGCGTATACGGGAGCCACCGGCAAGTGCAGCGCGAACAAAACGATGGTGAGCTTCCTCCTGAGTCGAGTCACAAGGCACCTCTCTACCCTGAGTCACCTCGCTGACCTTGTGGTCAATTCTTGCCTGATGCTCTCTCTTTCTAACCCATGTGTCCTCCCTCCCCCTCCCCCCCCCCCCCCCCCCCCCCCCCCCCCCCCCCCACTCTTACTCCCCCTCTGCTCGCAGAGCATGTGGAACTTTTCCATGTACGAGCAGGTGCCGCTGCCGGGGCCGCATGGTCAGTGCTTGTCTGAAGCTCGCTCTTCCTTACCCTCCTCTGCACCCCTCTCCACCGCTCGCAGAACTTATGGAGTTTTTCCATGTACGAGCAGGTGCCACTGCCGGGGCCGCTGGGGCTCATTCTCGCGCTGCAGAAGCAGCCCGTCATCGTCACCATCCGCGCCTCTGCGCAGGACTTTATTGACTACTCGGTGAGTTGACGCTGCTGCTGATGCTGATAGAATCACCCGTTAAAAGGTGAAGCAGCCCGTTATAGGGTGAAGCAGCCCGTCATCGTCACCATCCGAGCCTCCTCCCAAGACTTTATCGCACCATACGTGGTGAGTGCTCAGCTGCTGACAAAGACTCTGCATGCCCACATCAGCGTCAGCGTCGTCACCATCCGCGCCTCTGCCCAAGACTTTATCGACTACGCGGTGGGTTTGGGAGGTTCCGCTGCTGCTGCTGCTGCTATATGCCCCAGCCCTGGTATTTGCCTCCCTACCACCCTCCCTCCCACCCTCCCTCCCTCCCGCCCTCTCACCCGTCACAGGGCGGCATATACCAGGGCTGGGGCTGCTATAATCTCGTGCTATAATCTCACTCACTGTAAGAATGTCCCAAGATCTTCCCTCCCTCCCTCCCTCCCTCCCTCCCTCCCTCCCTCCCTCCCTCCCTCCCTCCCTCCCTCCCTCCCTCCCTCCCTCCCGCCCTCCCATCACAGGGCGGCATATACCAGGGCTGGGGCTGCTACAACCCGCTGGGAACTGTCTTGGATGGCTGGAACCTTCCCTGTCTCTCCTGACACACCCACCCACCCTCCCACCCACTCTCCGACCCTCTCACCCTCACAGGGCGGTATAGACCAGGGCTGGGGCTGCTACAACCCTGTGGGAACCGTCTCGGGTAGCGGGGGCGGACGGGCCATGGCGACCGCTACAGCCACCAACAACACGGGGCTGCTGGACCACGTGATGCTGGCCGTGGGGTGTCTCTATGGGGAACAACACGGCTCCTCTTTCCTCCCCTCTTCCCTCCCTACCCTCTTCCTTCCCGTCTTCCCTCCCCTCTTTCCTCCCCTCACAGGAAGGCATATACGAGGGGTGGGGCTGCTACAACCCGCTGGGAACTGTCGCAGATAGCGAGGGCAGTCTGGGACGGACCACGGCCACGGCCACCAACAACACAGGCCTTCTAGACCACGTGATGCTGGCCGTGGGGTATAACTATGACTCCCCGGGGAGCTGGAACAACTACTTCATTTTGAAAAACAGCTGGGGGCCGCAGTGGGGCGAGGGCGGGTACATGCGGATTCGCATGGAGAATGGGCCGTTTGGCACGTGCGGCATGCTGGTCAATCGCGGGCTCTACCCCGTTGTGAGAGGTGAGAGGTTAACCAGTGGAACAGGTGAGCGAGGGCTCTACCCTGTTGTGGCAGGTGAGGGGTTTCACTCTCCGCCCCTTACCACTGGCATGCAGGTGAACTGAAGGTGATGCAGTGTAAGTGCACTAGAAGAATCCCCAACAACCCGAAGTGCCACACTAGCAATGTTAAAACATACCACCTCGGCAGCCCCCAGCGATGTAGAGTATTTCTGAGAATTCTCAAAAATACTCCACATCTCCACACTAGCAATGTTAAAATACTCCACATCTCCACACTAGCAATGTTAAATTACTCTACATCTCCACACTAGCAATGTTAAAGCAGACCACCTGGGCAGCCCCCAGAGCATGTTTTATGAGAATTCTCAAAAAACACGATCCCGACAACACGCCGCTCCGTAGGGGGCTGAACTGAACTTGCTTGATTGGCAAGAAACGTCACCCTTCTTGAAAAGTCCTGTGTTCCTTCCTTTCCTCCCTCCCTACCCAATCTACCATGCAGTCAAGAGCACCAATCCCTGCAACGCATCACCCTGTAAGGGCGTGTGGTCGACAAGAATCGTCACGCTGTTCCTCCCTGTACCTCCCTGTTCCTCCCTGTTCCTCCCTGTACCTCCCTGTTCCTCCCTGTTCCTCCCTGTTCCTCCCTGTACCTCCCTGTTCCTCCCTGTTCCTCCCTGTTCCTCCCTGTACCTCCCTGTTCCTCCCTCTTCCTCCCTGTACCTCCCTGTACCTCCCTGTACCTCCCTGTACCTCCCTGTTCCTCCCTCTCCCCTTCCCCTTTCTCCCTCCTTCCGTCACCTCTCCCCGCCCAAACCACCTCGCAGCCCAGAGCACCAATCCCTGCAGCGCATCACCGTGCGGGGGCGGTAGGTGTATGGTCAACGAGAGAGACACAACTAAGTATATGTGCGAGTGCCTGCCGCCCCCACTCTCCTTACTGTCTGCCTCGTTCCTCCCGTCGCCTCTCCCCGCCCGAACCACCTCGCAGCCCAGAGCACCAATCCCTGCAGCGCATCACCGTGTGGGGGCGGCAGGTGTATGGTCAACGAGAGGGACACCACCAAGTACACATGCGAGTGCCCCGCCCCGCTCGTGGCTGCTGCCAACCGTGACGGCACCGCTACGTGCACCGTCAGTGAGTTGCGGGTTGGGTGGTCTCACTCACCCTCTTTGGGCTCTTGGGGTATTGTGGGGACGAGAGGGACACCACCAAGTACACGTGCGAGTGCTGACTTTTGAGTCGACTCAAAAGTCAGCTCAGTATTGTGGGGACGAGAGGGACACCACCAAGTACACGTGTGAGTGCTGACTTTTGAGTCGACTCAAAAGTCAGCTCAGTATTGTGGGGACGAGAGGGACACCACCAAGTACACGTGTGAGTGCTGACTTTTGAGTCGACTCAAAAGTCAGCTCAGTATTGTGGGGACGAGAGGGACACCACCAAGTACACGTGCGAGTGCTCCGCCCCACGCGACGGCACCGCCACGTGCACCGTCAGTGAGTTGCCCCTTTGAAGGTGCTTTGGCCCTTTGGCTCTGATTCAATCGTGGCTGCTGCCAACCGTGACGGCACCACCAATGAGTTGCACCGCATGAGATGCTTTGGCTCGTGGGGTGAGTTGGCGCCTGGGGTCAATTTGCTCCTCATATCATTGCGTTGGAGATGAGAAGGGACATGTGAAGTGACAGTGGGATGCTATTGCCCCATACACGCAACCACTCATCCCCCCATCTCGTTTGATGTTAACACCCCCCCACACAGTCGACGTGTGCAGCGTGCTACCCACCAACCCCTGCGTCGTGGGGCAGTGCATCAACAGCGGCGACGGCGGCTACTCGTGCCTCTGCCCGCCCAACTATAAAACTAGCGTGCTCGCCTCTGGCCAGACCACTTGTGTGCCTGGTGAGGCTGGGGGGAAGGAGGGCTTTCAAAAAAGGGCCGTGATTCAGCAATGAGGGAGGGTAGGGGCAAATAAAGAAGACACAGAATACGTTTTTTTTTTGTTTGTTTTTTTTTTTTTTTTTTTTTCCCTACTTTTCTTTTCCTTTTTCCTCTAAATTTTAGCTGTCTTACATTTACTTTTTTTACTGATTCAAAATTTTGCTTGAATGCACTCACCACCATGTATGACATGGCATGGCAGAGATGTCACCGAGCACGGCAGCAGCGGTGCAGGGCACGTACACAGTGCAAGGGGTGGAGACGTGTGGTGCCATCTACGGCTTCATCGGCCTCACCCAGGAGCAGTTCCTTGCACAGAATGAGGTGCGAGTGATGAGGAGTGATGAGGAGTGATGAGAGCGATGAGGAGTGATAAGAGCACTTCCTGCAGCAGAACGATGTGAGAGCAATGCAGAGTGATCAGAGGGATAAGAGTGAGCACACTGACAAGAGCAATTCCTGCTGCAGAATGAGGTGAGCGCAATGAGCCCCATCAATTCAACTTTTGAGGCGCCTCAAAAGGTGAGCGCAATGAGCCCCATCAATTCACCATCTCAACTCCTGCTCCTCAACATCCCTATGCCCTACTGTCCAACGTTGAAACCATCACCCCAATATCCACCAGGGAGGGAGTGGACTGTGACAATCTCAAGGCTGGTCAGGTGCTCAACATCTCAATCAACAACCCCATCCCTTGCGTCACAGCTTTCCTTTCTCATCATCACCCGTCTTCACACCCACCCCCCCTTCATCCCCAGGGAGTGGACTGCAACAATCTCAAGGCGGGTCAGGTGCTCAACATCTCCATCCCCTCCTCGGCTCAAGTGTGCCGCGTGCGCTACACTGTCACCCAGGTGCGTTACATGTCACCCAGGTGCGTTACATGTCACCCAGGTGCGTTACATGTCACCCAGGTGCGTTACATGTGTGCTACTATGTCATCCAGGTGCGTTACACGTGTGCTACCATGTCATCCAGGTGCGTTACATGTGTGCTACTATGTCATCCAGGTGCGTTACATGTGTGCTACCATGTCATCCAGGTGCGTTACATGTGTGCTACTATGTCATCCAGGTGCGTTGCATATTGCCTAGTTGCGCGAACATGTCCCGCAGGTGCATTACAAGTCGTCCACATCCGTTACATGTCACGCAGCTACACTGTCACTCTCCCCCTCCCACCCACTCTCTTCACCCTACCGCCCCTCTAACCCCATCCACCCCCTCCTCTATCTGCACGCACGCAGCCATCAACGCCCACTTTTGAGTCGACTCAAAAGTCGCTCTCCCCTCTACCCACTCTCTGCCCCTTCTAACCCCGTCCAATCCCTCCTCTATCTGCGCGCATGCAGCCATCAACCCTTACTTCACTCTTTCCCTCCTCCCCCTCCCTGCTTAACCCCTTCCGCATTCACCCCAGGCGGACGCAGCAGCAAGGAGCTGTGACCTCATCAATAATCGCTTTGGCATAGACGTCGCCACCATCAACCCCAGCCTCGATTGCTCAAGCCTCGTGCCCAACCAGCAGGTGAGGCAAGCGGTGCATAGTGGTTCTAATGGTGTTGCAGGTGGAGAGAGTGGTGGGGAGTGATTCGGCTCGTAAGTGGGGTGGCGGCGTAGCTTAGATTGCATTGGCATTGACCACAGCCTTGACAGCCGTATCAGGAGCAGCGACTACAACCTGTGCACGAGCTATGTGGCCACCAGCAAGTGAACTACCTTCTCCCCTCTCCTCTCTTGCTTCCCAACCCTTCCTCTCCTCCCCTCCCTCTCCCATTGCAGATCTGCATTCAGGTGGGGGACACGGTGTCAGGAGCAGCAACTACAACCTGTGCACGAGCTATGTGGCCACCAGCAAGTGAACTACCTTCTCCCCTCTCCTCTCTTGCTTCCCAACCCTTCCTCTCCTCCCCTCCCTCTCCCATTGCAGATCTGCATTCAGGTGGGGGACACGGTGTCAGGAGCAGCGACTACAACCTGTGCACGAGCTATGTGGCCACCAGCAAGTGAACTACCTTCTCCCCTCTCCTCTCTTGCTTCCCAACCCTTCCTCTCCTCCCCTCCCTCTCCCATTGCAGATCTGCATTCAGGTGGGGGACACGGTGTCAGGAGCAGCGACTACAACCTGTGCACGAGCTATGTGGCCACCAGTAAGTGAACTACCTTCTCCCCTCTCCTCTCTTGCTTCCCAACCCTTCCTCTCCTCCCCTCTCTCTCCCACCGCAGATCTGCATCCAGGTGGGCGATGCGGTGTCGGGAGCAGCGGACTACAACCTGTGCACGAGCTACCTGCCGGTCAACGAGTGGGTCACGTGTGCCAACGCTGTGGATTGGTACGGCCTCTCCTGGCTCGACCTCTACCGCTTCAACCCCGGCATCAACTGCGACACGCTCACAGCACTCACCGCCTCCGAGGTACCTATGCGGGGAGTTGGCGCTAGATAGGAGGGGTAGCGCTGTGAGGGGTGTGATTCAATTGGTACGGCCTCTCCTGGCTCGGCCTCTCCTGGCTCGGCCTCTACCGCCTCAACCCCAGCATCAACTGCCACACGTTCACAGCACTCACCGCCTCCGTGTTGGCTCAGCCTGCTACCGTCTGGGTTAAAAGGGCTTGTTTGTTTGGTGGGTAGCACAACCATAAACCCCCTAGCACACATATGGAGCCCTTACGAACTCAACTAAAGAACGATCTTAGTGCCTCACCATCAATCTCCCTTCTACTGGGGTCATTCTCCTCTCATTTACGGCTCGTTAGGGCACTGTGCTCATATGGCGCACACTGGGATCGAGCCCAAGACCTTTGGCTCTGATACCAATGTTGGTACAGCCTGCTACCGACTAGGTTAAAAGGGCATGTTTGTATGATGGGTGACACACTCATAACCCCCCAGGCCGCGCCTGTAGCCCTCCCTCACTCAACCGGGGACAATCTCAGTGCCCCACCAACATTACGAGGGACCAACATGATGGGGAGGTGATGCTAGGGGGGGCGTGGCACTTGGAGTGCGAATAGAGGGGGTATGGGGGGGTATGGGGGGTTATGGGGCATGTCGTGGTTCGACCTCTATTGCCTCAACCTTGGCATGAACTGCGGCACCCTCGGCTCGCTCACCGCCTCCAAGGTACCTATGAGGGGTAACGCTATGGAGGTTTGTGCTGGAAATCAACTAGTGCCTACGCCATATGCAAAGCTTGCCTTTTGAGTCATGTCACAAATTGCTTAAATCTCTCATTCTTGCTCACTCCTCCCTCCCCTCCTCCCCCGCCCATCCCCACACCCCAGATCTGCATCGCCGGCACGCCGTTGGGAGCGGTGGCGTGCGGTAAGGCGCGGTCGAAGACGGTGGCGAACCGGCGGTACACGGTGGGGGCGGGGGACAGCTGTGCGTCGCTGGTGGTGGTGCAGTTCCAGCGCCAGCCGCCGCTTGTGGGCCAGCTCAACCGCGGCTGGATGTGCCGCTCCCAGAGCCTCTTCGCCGGCATGCCCCTCTGCATCCCCTCTTAGCATCAACGGCATCACTGTGTGGCACGGCATGCCCCTCTGCATCCCTTCTTAGAGCACTCACAGCCTCTCCGCCGGCATGCCCCTCTGCATTCCCTCTTACCACCAGTGGTGTGGCATGGCGTACCATGTCCTGCCGCATCCCTTCTTAAAGCCAATGGTATAACATCCCCTCTTCGGACTCCCAGAGCCTCTTCGCCGGCATGCCTCTCTGCATTCCCTCCTAGAGCGCTCACAGCCTCTTCAGCATGCCCCTCTGCATTCCCTCGTAGAACCAGCCGGGTGGCATGGCATGGCATGGCGCATGGCGTGGCGTGAGGTGGCGTGATGTCGAGTTATGCACACGGAACTTGACTTAGGTACGAGTGAGGCAGCTCTACATACATCCCCTTTGAATCTTATTGACCAAGGAATGACATGACCACATTTCCTGTTGTATATTACATAAAGATGATCTGCTATAGATTGTATACATATATTACAATACATGCAATTGTTGTACGCCTTTGACAAAAATGTTACAGAATGGTGGAATCGCCCATGGCGAGGATGAACTGATGCGGGAGAGTTTGATGAAGCCTGTGTTGGCGAATTACTCTTGGTGAAATGGAAACCCTTACATGCCACGCAAGAGCAACCAATGTGGCCTATGCCGGAGGTGACTCAAGAGTCAGGAGGACTGGACTAGCTCCAACTCAATCCAATGTACCGTGATCTACTGTATGTCCCCTTCGATTCAGAGCGCACAAACCACACTGCCAGGGGAGGTGAGCAATCACGCACTGTCTCGGTTCATGCACAAACCACACTGGCAACATATTACCGTAGGAATCTGCTGCCAGCTGGAGATGTCAAACGATAATCAGGGTCAGCGATAGCTGGCAGCGAAGCGATCACACACAGTGATCATACGCATGAGCCGAGACGGTGATAGAAATGCCTGCCCTGTTCTCCTCCGCCTTTTGAGATGTCTCAAACCTCGATAGCTGGCAGTGGAGCGATCGCACACCCACACAAGCCGAGACGGAGATGGGAAAGGGAAATGCCTGCCTCTTAAACGTTGCAGGAATTCTTTGAGAATACTAAGAAAATATCCTCGGTGTCAACAGTACCTGGCAGAGGAGCGATCACACACAGGAGGCGAGATGGTGATGGGAAGGGAAAATGCCTGCCTGCCCCCCTCTCCTCCGCTTCACCTTTCGAAGGTCGTGCTTTGAGGGTTCAGAGCCGGACTGAACGGGGGGGAAACATTGATGTGAACAGCACGAGTAGAACCAGCAGCAGCAGAAACACCGCAGCTACCACCACTGCCACCACTGCCACCACTGCCACCACTGCCACCACTGGCACCACTGGCACCACTGCCACCACTGCCACCACTGCCACCACTGCCCTCACCAGCACTGCCAACCCACGTGAGATGAGTCGATTTTTGAGTCGACTAAAAAATCGACTGACTCAAGAATCGACTCCTCTCAAACAGCACGAGCAGAACCAGCAGCAGCAGAAACACCGCCGCTACCACCACCGCCCTCACCACCACTACCAACCTTGCGCCTGCATCGTGCTGGCAGAAGCTCGTATCCCATGAGCGAAATGACAACTGCCAGACCCGTCTCTGGAGGGGATGGGGATGGGGAGGCAGAGGGAGGGGATGGGGATGGGGATGGGCAGGGAGAGGAGCGATGGGAACGGTGGGTTTGTGGCACCTCAAACCATTGCTTTCACTGCCCTCTGCTTTTCCTGACCATGCGGAGGGGGAGGGAAGGAGGGGGGGGCGGGGGAGAAATGGGAACGTGGGGAAGCGGGAAATTGGGAAAGTGGGAGAGTGGGAGAGTGAGTTTGATGCGTTCGAGGTACCTCTCCAGTCACCTCGGATGAGAACACAGGACTTATGACAGGAAAGGGAACAGCAAGAGCCACCAGGAAGAGCAGCTGACAGGCCAAAGTGAACAGGAGGACCAAGAGCAGCGAGGGCAGCACTACAAGCAGCAGCAAGAGGAGTAGAAAGAGCAGCAGCAGGGGCGCATGCGCACCGGCAGATCGGCGAGAATTTCTGCGGGTGTGCGTGGGTGGCAGGGCGGGCCTTGGTGGTCCACAGAGAATGCCTCCGCGTTGCAGAAGGGGCATAGACAAGGGTTGAGAGGAGGGGCGACGGGGCCGTGAGACAGGGCTGAGAGACAAGGCTGTGCGACAGGGCTGGGCGAGGGCTGGGAGAGAGCTGGGAGAGAGCTTGAGTGGTAAGATCATTCAGTGAAGAAGTCGTGAGGTCAGAGGAAGCAGGACAGCGTAGACGCACTTGGAAAACGCACTACACAGTGGATCAAGTCGGGTGCGGTGAGGTGATGTGCGGTGAAGTGCAGTGAGGTGGGGTGAGGTGCGGTGAGGTGCGGTGAAGTGGGGTGCAGTGAGGTAGTGGAAGGAGAGAAGGTATGTGAGGCAAGGCAGACAGTGGGCTTACCGGAAATCGCAGAGATGACGGGACGCGATGCGGAGATAGCAGTCTGCATGGGAAGGGGAGGTGAGGAGCGGTGCGGTGAGGTGAGGTGAGGTGTGACGAGAGAGAATGTGATGCGAGGGGATGCAATGCAATGCGGAGATAGCAGTATGCAGGGGAAGGGATTCAAACGGACAGGTAGTGTGAATGAAGAGCAAATGAGAGACTGATGGAGTAGTTTTGCAAGGGTGCGGGAAGGGTCATGCGTGGGTGGGGGAAAGGTCGTGTGCGGGTGCGGGACGAAACGTGGGCTTGTGGGCTTGCTACCAGCACCCGAGGCTTGAGGGTTAGCAAAAACGTGACCCACCTGTACAATCACCCACCTAAACAATCACCCACCTGTGTGGTCACCCACCTGTACAATCACCCACCTGTACAATCACCCACCTGTGCGGTCACCCACCTGTACAATCACCCACCTGTACAATCACCCACCTGTACAATTACCCACCTGTACAATCACCCACCTGTACAATCACCCACCTGTGCAGTCACCCACCTGTGCAGTCACCCACCTGTACAATCACCCACCTGTACAATCACCCACCTGTACAATCACCCACCTGTGCAATCACCCACCTGTGCAATCACCCACCTGTGCACAGCCCTTTCTTGCAGCATCTCGCAGTGTTCAGTCTGGGGTAGTTATGGAGTGAGGGAAGGCGGGTGGGACAAGAATTGAGGCAGAGGTTGGCCGTGTTGGCAGAGCTAAGGTGGACGCGGACGAAATGGGATGAGAAAGACGTTGAAGGAAAGTAACCGTTCAATAAGTGAACAAATGTGATTGGCTTTCGCCAATCTTGATGCTTCTTGTTCCCGCCAAAAAATATTTCCATGCGGATCTCCTCCGTCGCATGTCTACGTGCTACACCTGCACGACTGTTGCCCAACAATGGTTTCCATCGCCAGGCCAACGCTGGTTTCAAGCTGGAATTGGGTTCCGTGACTGGCTCCTCTCCATCCCGAAGTCACTAGTTTTATTCCTAGCATATTTTAGCTGACAACAATAGGTGTTTGTGGCCAAGGTAAGTAACTTTCGACCCTGCGGAGATGCGTAAGACTGTTACGTAGCCTTGTATCGTAATATTTTTCCCTCCGCAGGCTATCGTTACCTTTCCGCAGGGGCTAGTTTCCTGTCTCGCGCCTTCGCCATCTCCCCTACCCTCCAGTCCTTCGTCCGCTGTCCGGTCCCCTCCCATCACCTTCGCGGGTCTCTCTCCTCCCCCCCCCCCCCCCCCCCCCCCCCGTCTAGGGTTTAGACCTAAACGGGGGACCCGAGACCTTCGCTCTGATACCATGTCAGAATCCCAACCACTAGACCATTGGGATAAAAGGGCTTGTTAAGTAGCGGGTCAGTGCGCCCATAACCCCCCAGGACAACGAGCCTGTAACCCTTCCCTAGAATCAATCGGGGATCACCATTGGACCTCTGACAAGCGCTCATTCTTTGTTGTATCGCTCGGTTTGTCCTGGCCCGCGCAGCGCGGCGCGAGTCTCATGGCCATGTCTGCGCAAGGCACGCTCGCGTTAATGTGGTGAGAGCATTTGCGCACCGAGGCCCTGATGTTAGCGCGGTGGGGGTGTTTGCGCGTGGTGAGAGTGTTCGCGCGCGATGAGGATACTTGCGCGCGGTGAGGATACTTGCGTGCGGGGAGGATACTTGCGCGCGGTGATGGTAGAATTTGCGCGTGGTGGGGGTATTTGCGCGCGGTGAGGGTAGTAGTATTTGCACGCGGTGAGGGTAGAATTTGCGCGCGGAGAGAGACGTGGTGCTCGATGCTCGAAGCACCGCCTGCCGTGTGACCCTCGTAGTAAGTAGGAGCTTGCAAATGAAAGACTTTTGAGGCCCCTCAAAAGTTGCGCGCGGTGAGAGACGTGGTGCTCGGTGCTCGAAGCTCCTGTCCCCCATAACACTCCATCGCGGATCTAGCAGCCCACAAAATTTGGCCCTCGTGGGTTTTTCTACGGAAAAGCGTACAAAAAGTCCCAACAAACCCCAGAAACCCTCGCAATGTCCCACCCTGGCTTAGACGCGCCTCGCTCGGACCGCACATTACAATAATACATCAAGCCGCTTCAACATTCCTTGCGGCGCGCAAAAAAACACTGCCACATCGCCAGACAAACATCCCGCGTACAGTCCTCTTCCACCCCTGGACACAGTACTTGACAGTACAGTACACGGGATATGCGTTCAATTCATGCATATCCCGTGATTCCACTAAGCTGCTAGATTACTTTGCAATGTTCCCCAAATTCCATTCCCACCATTTTCAGCGTTGAACTTGACAAATCGACACAATCAGTATCCTACCACTACAAACAGTCGAGCCCCTGTTGGACATAAACATCAACACGTCCGCGAGCGCGTCCACATTACACCCTGTACAACTACTCGCACAGTAAAAACTTGTTCAGCAGCATGAACTTCTTGTTCACATAGGACTTGCACACGTGCACCACCCACTTTATGCACTCCACTTCCACCACTGCGTAGCGTGTGGTG